CCCCAGATTTCCCTGCTGTGGGACAGTAAACAGCATATCAGCAGCAGACATTAGCATGTTCATCCCTTCATATGTAGCCAAATTCAGCAGCTGTTCTCGCAAACTGACCTAAATCATTTTAGATTTTCAATGAAAACTCTTTTAAAGATCTATTCTCTGTAAAGCCGGACTACTTTGCATAGTGTTAGTCATTAAATTAAGAATATACATATTTCTGCATTATGATTTTGGCCCCTGCAGCAAAACATTAAAGTAACCAATAGGGTTGCGTAAATACCGATACCAGTAACGGCTGGGGGCCGATCTAGCATGAAAATTGTGGTATCGGTATAAGAGGTTACCGAAAGATAGGGCGCAGATACCATTTTGAGAGCCAAAAGTTTCTTCACCTATTGTCACCCTTTCCAGGGAGGCAATAAAAGGTTCTACTGCATTCACTTTGTATTAGTTTTTTTAGGGGTGTAAATCACACCCATCACTGCGATTCGATTTTGTATCAATTTCCTGACCCAACGATTCGATTATTTTCGATACTCAAGAATCCGCCATGTCTGCCTTGCCTACTGTTTGCCTACCCTCTTTCTGTTTCATGCAGAGAGAGGGTAGTGGCTAAAGGAAGCGAGGTAGGAGGGCAAAATAGGTTTAGCGCCCCTGCAGCACGGGAGTCAGAATTACGCCCAGGAGCAAATGGATAAAAATGGACCGGAGTAAAAAATAAAAGCTGAATCAATACTCTTGCAGAAGTGTCGATGCATCGGATCGTCAGCTGTTTGATCGATGCATGGTTAAAAAAAAACTATTATTATTTACATCCCTAGTCTTTTTCCTGCTTCACAAAGGTAGGCAGCAGCTTGACAAAGGCATTATTTTACATCCATGTAGTATGCAGTTCTTCATATATACACACACACACATCGATTTCAAACAGATGTTATCGGTACGGTATTGGTATTTGCCAATACTGCACAGCCAGGTATCAGGTATCGGTATTGGTGCCAAAAAATTAACCTGACTCCGCCAGATGGATTTGCTCCGCATATCCATCTGGAAACC